TGCAGCCCAAATGTTCACGCAAAGAAAGAAGGCGTAACTTTATTGTTGCTGCCGCCGCCGCCGCCATGTTGTGAAGACGCTGCATGTTTCGTTGCGAAAGCGAAAGTACTTTGTTTGGCCTTCCAAAAGAGGACACGACTAGAAATCAGTGGTTAAGTTGTATTTACAACACTGTTCCAGAACACTTCAACCCAAATATTCAGATGTGTGCAGCTGATGGAGGACTGTTTCCTGATCCTGGGAGAGTAGACTACAATGCCGGCTGTTCTGATTCACAGACTGTAAGTACGTTTTCATATTTAAAGAATTTGCCACTGACGATTCAAACGCGAGTTTTGAGCAGTGTAGAGTAGCGCTTGTTGTTTGTCATTTCTCCGATCACAAATGCAGACATGGTTTTATGTTTACGCGGCGCGTAAAAAGACAGTATAAGTCATTATAATCAGTAATTATGCCCCAACTGGATGCAACAAATGCCTCGTTTAGAATGGGTTTTTGTTTTTGTCTCGTCGCTCCGGCCGGACAGGGCATCACAGTATGGTAGGGGTGTAACATTTATAGGGGATAACCCCAGGCGGGCTAGGATTTCCTTCTTGACCTCCTTATATTGATCGTTTGCTGTATAATGTATAGTATGTGGAAAATAATGTGTTTTTTTAACCTTAAACCGCATAAACACATTTATACCAAATGCACAAAATAATGTTCTTTTTAGCAACATCATATGACCCCTTTAAAGAATGTTGGTAAACAGACAGTTGATGGTAGCCATTGACTTGCAAATGGTTACCAACATTCTTTAAAATATCTTCTTTTGTGCTGAGCAGAAAAAATTAATTCATACAGGTTTGGAATGAAATGAGGGTGAGCAAATTAATTTTAATTTTTGGGTGAGCGATCCCTTTAAATGACACTGTTTCAGTCAATGATTACGGCTGATTTTTTTTCAGTTGCCATAAATTTTGGGCATCACTAGTTCTCATTATTTTTTTATTAAAAATGATAAATAATTTTTACAAATTTAATTTATTTTAAATATTTATTATAGAGCAGCTAGAGAACTACACAACGCAGCCAGCATTGCTATTGCTCATTGATCAAAGCCCTATTCATGAAGAGACAAAAGAGGTGAAAGCAGGAACAGTGGCACATTCATTTAGAAAACAGGAACCTGGTAACTAAAACTGAAATTGACTCACATAAGACAATGGTGGCAGCATATGGTTACTTCTAACACCCCCGCTTCGAAACAAGCATAGTGCTCACTGTTTGTGATGATTTTAAATGCAAATAGGATAAATGCTTAGGTATATCATACGTCTGGCTGCATACTGCTAATATTCACCTTACTCTTCTTCATGTCTTTGGCACCAGCCTCCTCAGCTGCCAGCCCAGCTGCTTCGTTCAGGTATTTGTTCCCCACCTTACTCTCAAACCACTTCAGATCTACAAACACCTCGCTGAAGTGCTCCCGGTCAAACTGAAAACACAGAAGAGAGTGATGGCATGGACTAAGAGCTGAATGGGGTGAATTTACCTCCTCTTGCAGTATATAATGTATCGGGAATCATAGTTTTCATTTAATGTTACAGGTGTTGTCAGTATTTGGTATCTCAGTCAGAGGTGACTGAGGATCTATCCCCTTGTCAGGAATGCCGTAACAGTGTTTTTAGTCATTTAGCCCAGATCCAGAGAATAAATATGCATTTGTTTTGTAATTAATGCATTTGATCATTATACAATAAAACTTAATCTAGAGTTCTATTTTTCAGTTTGACTTTTGTTCTTATCCATTTGTTCTTCTGTTCTGATGTTTTAACATTTTAAACGGACTTAATTTACTGTTTTCTATTTTGATATATTTTAAAACGTAATTTATTCCATGACAAAGCTGAATTTTCAGCAGCAATTACTTCAGTCTTCAGTGTCACATGATCTTTCAGAAATCATTCTAATATGCTGATTTGCTGCTCAAGAATAATTTCTTATCAATATCGATGTTAAACACCAGTTGTGCTGCTTAATGACTTTGTGCAAAACATAGTTGTTAAGTTTCAGTCATGGTTATACATTCAGATTTTTGTATACATGTAATATTTCTGTGCTATTTGCCTAGGGTTCTGAATGTAAGTTTGCATATAGTACACTGAGAGGAAGTAAGGACTCTTATGGGGGTGAGATAGCTGCTTCCGGTATTGTTATGTTGTTGTGAACGGCTATGGTTGCAGTCGAACAAAAGGAGTTTTCCATTAAGTTTAAAACAGTTGTCTTTTGATCAGTAACATTAGTACACTTTTTTTATTCAACATTTTTTCAAATCAAATCAAATCAAATCAAATCCAAACACTCACATCTGACAACTTCTCAAGGTACTTCTCAAAGTGGGCAAGGTTGAGATGACCATTTTCATTCAAGTAGCCTGATGGAGATGACAATAATCAGCACTATATCAGCATTACACCACCATCACAAAGTCGCATGCGCTGTGATTTGCGGGTGGACTGACTCACCCCCCAGACTGGGCAGCACGCTGATGTAAGTTCGATAGAGCAGTGGCAGTGCATCGTGATTGATGTGCAGGTGAGGAAGATGAGGGATGAAGTCATTCCCCACCAGGAAACCCATCAGAACCCAGTCGTCTATGATCCGCTCCAGGTCGTACTCGAACGAGATCTTATTCTAATGGAAACAGATGAGTTCATGACCAGACTACAGGTCAGTCTATTGTTTACAATAACTTTGTCCAGATTTGTGCTGATCACGCCATATGAGAGAGACATATTCTCACCCTGAGCTCTGAAAACTCATAGTCGATGTATTCCCTCATAAGGGAGAGGTGAAGCAGGTGAAAGGTCGTCTCCTCAGGAGCTGTTATCCTACAGACCAGAAAAACACATTATAAAGGAACACAAACTTTCAACTTGGCGCAATGAAAATAATGCCACACTTACCTCTTCTGTGACTTTTTGCCTCCGAAACGAACCTCCTCTCTGAGGAGAGAAAAATTAGGCTCATGGCTGGTCAAGCCAAGCATTATCTACAAAAAAGAGAGAAAGGAGGAGAAAGCATGCTTAAAATAAATACAAAAATAACTGGACTATGATAGGGATGAGCATTTTTGGCAATTTCTCATTTCGATCATCGATAGGTTTCAAAAACCTAAAAGTAATCAAGTACTCGGGGGCGGGGCATGTGCGGGGCATGGAGATAATGAAAATATCTGAAGACCGTTATGAAAATGAATGTTAAAAATAAAAATATGATATGAAAACCTGTCTATGAAAACATGAACACATGATTAGAACACTGTTAGATTATAATTATGATGCAGCAATGTTATTAAAAAAAGAAGCATCTAAAAAAAAGAGTAGCTGCCTGTGGTGAAGCCTTTCTATGACACATCCTATGATATTAATCAGATAACTTGGATACATCATAACATTACATTACAACTTGTATCCGCACAACAGGATGCAAATGCCAGTGAACTTTAAGTTATGCGCTACAGCGAGAGAGAGAGAGAGAGAGAGAGAGAGAGAGTGTTCATCTACATTATCAAGTGATTCCTGAAATCGCCTGTGCTTTTTTGAAGCCATATGAAGTACGAAAACAAATTTCATTGAAGTATGCCTACTGTTGAACAAAATATGAAGAAAAAAGCACTGCTGCATTATTATAACATCAGTATTTTTAAAAAAGAAACATCTAAAAGCAATATGACCGTCTCCAATAACTCCGTCAATATCGGGCATTGCATTTGAACATGAAACTAAACACTGATAATATGCAGTGCATTCAGTATGTTAATAAATGTTAATATCCCAACGCATCCTACATTAGATTAATCAGATATGTATGTAGCTAACCCAGACATCACTACGTGATTTCGAAGCCATGCTTCTCTCTCTTCTCACGTCTATAGCCTACTTTGGACCGCATGCAGGGTGCCACCCAATGTGCTACTATAACCAATCAGAAAAAAAAATGTTTTCATGATCAATCGTCGCTGTCACGGCCGAGTACTCGATCGCTGTTGCACATCCCTAGACTATGACCAAAATTTTTCTGTTATACACAACTGTACTCACTAGGTCGGCATCCAGACCATAAAGGCAGTGTCTTGTGTTTGGGGTATGACCCAGTTTGGTGGTCTCAGAACGGATAAACTCCATGATCTTGTGCTCTCCTTCACCAGGGGTCTGAGAAGAAACGGGAATCAGAAGAACTTCACAGAAACACACATGACACAAAGCTCTGAAGTCACGCAACTCACCTCATGACCAGACAAATACACATTCACTCCCTGCCATGCTTTGTCTGTGGACAGTTTATTGTGAACAAAATATTTAAGCTGTTCCTGTAGCCTGGCCATGAAATCCGTTCCTACAGAGGTCAAGAGAAACGGATAACTCAAAACATTCTACATCAGGATCTGTCAGAAAAAGTCCCATAAAAAACACCAGACACCCAGTAACAACCATCCTATCCATGATTTAAAAACAAATGAAAAGTAGACTTTTTAATTTTATGCCTTTAAAGTTCTTATGTATCCTGCTATATACAATGATAGAACAATAATGGTATACAACATCACTAGGACAGAATAAAAGCAATAAAGGAGCACACAAACCAGGGGTGATGCAGTTAGAGTCAAATCTGGCCTCTGTGGGCAAAACTTCACCCTTCTCCAAGGCCTTCTTGATTTTCTCCTCAGCTTCTTTTGCTGACCTTTAAAACACAAAGAGCATAAAATAAAGTTAGTTCAGTGTTTTAAAAATTCATTTTCTTGATACATTGTTTTGGGGTTGGTATGATTTGTAAACTTTTAAACGGCAATGGTATGTGTTGTGTTTATCTGCCCTAACACAGTCATTTGTACACTTATATCAATCTATAAAAAAAGCAGTGCAAAAAGAACCGTCTTAGTAAAAGAAAAGAAATAACTTTTTAATAAATGACCTGTCAAAAAACATCAAATACAAATCCTTAAGCCTTTCAAACTTCAGTCTAAATTCTCTCTCTCTCTCTCTCTCTATATATATATATTATGTTCAGGTCTTCTGCTATACCTGAATCTTCTTCCACGTTGCTGGTTCATCTTGGCCCTGGGTGCAACCCCATCGACAGCCATGAAGAACACTTTCCTGGGCTTAATGATGCGAAAGAGCACCTCCAGGTAGTGAAAAATATCAGCAAATATCTTCTCTTCAGAAATACGGAAGTGTACGTCCTCATCATTGGGGTGGGAACACTGGTGGATGATCCCATTCATATCTAAATATAGGTTGTCAAACTCTGGGATCTGGGGTGAAAGAGAGAGCACAAGTTGGCTGGCGTAAACTTGACAAAATATGACTAATGTCTCTGAAGAAGAAAAAAAATCTCAGGGGCATTTTTTAGTTAAAGAAATAAAAATACTCCGGACTGCAATACATATAAGCAGCTTTAAGATAAAGATATGAATAACAGGTCAATACAATGCAATTATACTGGTATCATATAGCCAACTGTGTTTAGTCTAAATTAAAACCTTGAATCTAAAACTCATCAAACTGTTTTTGAGAATTGAAATAAAGCTGGAATAAAATATCATTTCTTGATGAAAAACCTAAAAAAATGAAAATGACAAATGTTGCCTTTGTAACTAAGTGAAACAAATCAGTTTATGTTGAAGTTCTAAAATTACTAAAACTGAAAAAAATTATAATAATCAAATCTATATATAAATATAAACAAAATAATAAAAATGACAAAAGCACATAAAATTACTACAATTGAAATAAAAACAAACATTTACACATAACTGAATTATTATTGATTTGTTTATTTTTAACGCCATGTCAGCAGCAAGAACAAAGTGAATAACAGGAGTCATACAATTAAAGAGCCACATAAAACATTTAAGATAAATTCTAAAGCACATTCAGCTTAAAAAATACATCAGTCAAACATATCTCTTAATAAAAACGTTGTCTTATTCATATTTAAAACAGTGCAGTCCAGTAAAATATATTTAACACTCATTGGAGTTTGACAAGGAAGACATGATGGTGGTTCTTCACTCTTCAAAAAAATAATCTTGTGACTTAAACGTTAAACGGCAAATTGTAAAAAAACAAACCTAGTGGGCTGCCAAGCTAGGGTGCAAATATGTGCTTTTTTTAGTGGCGTTCCGAATAAGTCAGAAATGTTGCTGATTGGGAACTTGAATCACCTGCTAACGTTACTGTTTGAGCTTGTGTTCCTCGTCACAGCTGTCTGAACATTTATGATTGGTAGCTCGTTTAAAATCGCCTACGATGCGTGAAGTGCTGTCTAGGAAGACCGCTCATTAGATTTTGAGTCATTATAATGTAAATTATAGAAATTATGTCGGTAAAACATAAAGATAAAATCCCCCTCTATACATAACATATTCACGTGGAGGGAGAGTAAAAAAGATTTTGGTGTCTGTTAAGTGTAAGGTTTGAGCTTCTGTTCACAGAGCTGTAAATGATCTCTACGCGGCCTGTTATATTTAACGTTAGCCAAACTAGCTCACCTGATGCTCTTTGACAACTTCACTCAGACACGGATACCGCTCCGATATCCATCGATAAAATTTAGGCACTCCCATCTTCTCGTGTAAGTCTTCAAATAACAATAAGGAAGAGAAACCTTAAACAGAAGCCAATGTGAGCAGAATTTCATAGACTGATGTTGCTAGACGGTTTTGTTTCTGTATGAGCCGTTACTGTCCAGCCAATAAAATGTCCGTGTGGAAACTCGCGTGATGTAACATCTTGTAATATCGTTCCGACACTCATAAAACACGAGAAACATAATATTAAAGTAGACAAACGTCATAGAACTAGCAAGTTATGTAAGAGAAAATGTACAAGTATTTTCAAATTATGTAATTTTGATAACTATAAGAAAATATCCCAGAACTTTACGACCAGCACACTCTTCCGGCGGAAACAAATGCTACCACTAGGGATGCGATGTAATGTGAGAAAAAAAGAGGCAATTTGACACGACAACATTCCCACTTTCTTGGCCAAGATTAAGTGTAGTTCACCAGTAAATTAGGCCTACATTCTGTAAATGTAACTTATCCTCTATAGTGCTTACTGAGCCATTCATATATGAATAAATAGAAACATCAAAGCCCCTTGTAATTATTAAATACTCTTGTAAATCATTGAATATGAATGCTAGGCTATATGTAGTTGATATTCTTTCGTCCTTTTGTAGGACTTTTAGTAGACTAGTTTATATTGTTCTATCATATTGAATCTAGAAACCGTATTATTAAGTTGGACTAGTTAGAACTGTCTGCTGTGAATCACAGACTCGCAGTCAAGATGAAAGGCAGACAAACCAAATTCATAAATGTGAATTTGTGTTATGCACAAAATAGTTATCACGTAGTTTTATTTTTATGCATTAACTTTACTATTATAAATAATAATAATGCTAATTAATTATAACAATTATAATTATAATCATTATTAACAACATAATTTCCAATACAGTAATAATAATTATTATAATTATTACATGAATTGGTTTATCTCTGAAAATAAACAACGGTTAATTTAATATATTATTATATAATTCATATTTTAATATATAACACTTATATAACAATATATTAAATAAAATGATTCCATCTAATAAAAATTGCGATGAATAATGACGGCGTAGACCTATTATGAGATAAGGAAAAGTTTTATTTGGTTATTTGCTGATTTTGGTATTTTTGCATGAATTCACACACACAAAAATACTGCTAGTACTGGATACAAGAAAATCTTTTGGTATACAGATGCTTTTAAACATGTTATCAGCTGTTTTAGTGAGGGAAAATGTAATATATTACACATCAAAAACTAGTATGTCTAGCTGACATTACACACAAGAAAATTAATCAGATTGTGCTATATAAAAATTGTAGATTATCAGTGATTAGCATAAAAAGACCACAACTACAGTAAAAAAAGAACCATATAAAAGCTAAACTGCTTTTTGAAGGCACAGAAATGGTTGTTAAACTCTGTCCAAGAACATTCTGCAACAGTATGTTATGCATACAATACTACTAACACAATTAAAAATTAAGCTTTCAAGATAATTTCAATCAAAAACATTTTAAATAATATAGCTGCAAGCAGCAATTAAGGGGCCAAGCACTCCAAAGGCAAAATGCGGAGCTAAGCATGGCATGGAGCATCAGGCCAACTGCAACAATGAGTAATTAAAGCAAGTTTAGGATGATTTGAAGCAAAATGGCTGAAAAATCAAACACAACTTCTCGTATTATGACTACAGTAAAAAAAGAACCATATAAAAGCTAAACTGCTTTTTGAAGGCACAGAAATGGTTGTTAAACTCTGTCCAAGAACATTCTGCAACAGTATGTTATGCATACAATACTACTAACACAATTAAAAATTAAGCTTTCAAGATAATTTCAATCAAAAACATTTTAAATAATATAGCTGCAAGCAGCAATTAAGGGGCCAAGCACTCCAAAGGCAAAATGCGGAGCTAAGCATGGCATGGAGCATCAGGCCAACTGCAACAATGAGTAATTAAAGCAAGTTTAGGATGATTTGAAGCAAAATTGCTGAAAAATCATAAACACAACTTCTCGTAATATGATTTAATGGCTTATCACTTTTGACCAATAGGCGGCGCTGCTATCAAATCGATGTGGTGTGTTCTGTGTGAGGTAATAATGGCACACACAAAGTTTGGTGTCAGTATGTCAAAGCTTTGCAGAGATACAGCCTCAGACATGATCTGGCATTGTGCCTCAAATTTGTTGCAGCACTATACAAAAACGGTTTTGTCTATCAACACGAAATCCATAACTTTTTGTCAGCACTGGCTGATGATGATCTGATTCGATTTTGCAGAAAATCAGACTAGCGGTCAAGGAGGAGTTAGAAAAAGTAGATTTTCAACATAAATCAAAATGGCAGACAGGAAGTTCGGCCCACAATGGCATAATTGGTATCTATGTTGTCGGCATGACCCAAGGAATATTTTGAGACCAGTTTCATTATAATAGGGCTAATGCAATCAAAAATGATTAACATTTTTGGAAATTTCATAATTAATGGTTAATGAATGGTTTATCACTCTTGACCAATAGGTAGTGCTGTTACCAAAATGATGTGGCCTGGTCAGTGTGAGGTAACAATGGCACATACAAAGGTTGGTGTAAATATGTCAAAGCTTTGCAGAGATACAGCCTCAGATGCAGTTTGGTATCTTTCCAGCAAATTCGTTGATGCGCTAAATGAAAACCGTTTCGTATATCGACACGAAATCCATAACTTTTTGCCAGCTTGGTCTGAAGATGATCAGAGTAAAATTTGGTGAAAATCGGACAAACGGTCTAGGAGGAGTTCGAAAAAGTAGGTTTTCAACATGAATCAAAATGGCGGACAGGAAGTTCAGCCAATTATGGCAAAATTGGTATCGATGTTCTCGGCATGATCCAAGGAATCTATCAAAACCAGTTTCATCAATATGCCAAAATGGCTGACATGGGAAAATTGTGTATCATTCGACTTGGCATGATGCACCTAATCTAAAGAGACCAGATTTGTGATTTTTGGCCAAACCATTCAGAAGTTATAAGCAAAAATATGCATTTTTCATTTCTCCTGACCACTAGGTGGCACAGCGCCGAAACACTGCAGGTAGTCTCAGGTCATGCTTGTTATAACACACACCAAGTTTGGTCTCAATACGCCAAACCGTTGCGGAGATACAGCCTCAGATCCATTTTTGTGTGCTTTCCGTCGAATTCGTTCGCGCGTTATTCGAGAACGGTTTGACTAATCAACTTGAATTCCATAACTTTTTGCCAGCATGGTCTGACGATGATCTGAGCCAATTTTGGTGAGAATCAGACAAACCGTCTAGGACGAGTTCGAAAAAGTAAGTTTTTCAAACAATTTAACATAGTGAAAAAACTAAACCTTACGATTTTTTAATTTTGGACTTCATTCGACTCAGCATGAGCCAAGGATTCAGGGGAAACCTTTTCTGTTCTGTGCCTTACTGTTCAAAAGTTATTAGCATAAACATGAGTGAAACTTTGGAGAAGTGGTGGCGCTAGAGAGTTTGAGTTAGAGACTCCAAATTTGCTATGGTGACTATTCTGACTGTCCTCTATCAGTGTGCCAAATTTCATAACTTTCCCACAATCGGTTCTATGGGCTGCCATAGACTCAAGAGTGAAGAAGAAGAAGAAGAAGAAGAAGAAGAAGGCCAACAGATACAATAGGTGCCTACGCACCTTACGCACCTTGTCCCTAATAATAATATAAAAAAAGATATATAATGATATTTACATCGGAACAATTTTATTACTGCCATAGACTCAAGAGTGAAGAAGAAGAAGAAGAAGAAGAAGAAGAAGAAGAAGAAGGCCAACAGATACAATAGGTGCCTACGCACCTTCGGTGCTTGGTCCCTAATAATAATATAAAAAAAGATATATAATGATATTTACATCGGAACAATTTTATTACTGAACTTTCAAATCAGTCTAAGACTTCTGAAATCATGACAAAGAGTTGACTCTTCACAATAATGTGGTTGGGCAGGTTAGGTGATTGCTATGCCTTCAGCATTGGAACTTGAGAGATGTCCTTTTGACTCTGTTCGTTCAATGGTACTTCAAGATGATGGGCTGGATAGTGGATAATTGAGCCTAAAACACCTAGAGAAAAGCCATAAATAACACATCTGATAATCAACAGCATAAAAGCATGTGGATACACCTGTCTGGTATGACTAATTTTACACATCCTGGGCTAGTTCAGTGGTGTTGACCTTTTAAAAGAATAGCTCACCCAAAAATGAAAATTTGCTTTAAGATTACTCATCCTCAGGCCATCCAATATGCAGATCAGTTTGTTTCTTCATTGGAACAGATTATGAGAAATTTAGCATTGCATCACTTGATCAACGGATGCTCTGCAGTGAATGGGTGCTGTAACAGAGTTCAAACTGCTGATAAAAACACCCACAACATGACTCGAGTGCATCAATTAACATGTTGTGTAGGGAAAATCTGAACGGTTTCTAATAAACAAATGCATCAAGACATCATTTTAACTTCAAACCGTTGCTTCAGGCCAAAATACGAGTACTCAATTCATTACATAGCTTTCTGTAGTGAAAATGTAATCTTGTCTGAACCAGAAAATATGCACACATCAAGCACCATTTACAAGCAAAAATAGTACAAAACCATTCTAAACAAATTTATGGATTATGGACTTGTTTTACAAACATGCAGCTTTTTACTGCACAAGTTGATAATTGATGGACTGGAGTCATGTGGATTACTTGTGGATTATTATCATGTTTTTATCAGCTGTTTCGACACTCATTCTGACGGCACCCATTCACTGCAGAGGATCCACTGGTGAGCAAGTGATGTAATGCTAAATTTCTCCAAATCTGTTCTGATGAAGAAACAAACTCATCTTGGATGGCCAGAGGGTGAGTACATTTTTGAGTGAACTGTTCCTTTGAGGAATGTATGTACATAACAGCTTTTTAGAAACAGTATGAAACATAAAAAACCTTCTCTATGTTTGTTTTATTAATGTGTTAACAGTTTATTGCTCATGAATTTTATTTACTTTCTGTAAGACCCACGAGAACAATTACTGAAGGAAATTTTTGTTGCTGTACCCTTAAGCAAGGTTGATAGTAACATTTTTGACTTTAATGTTACCACATAAAGCAAAACATTTTCACAATGTTTTTAATCACACTGTACCATTGTAATTTAAAGTGTGGCCAAAGTAGTTAAATATAAAGTGAATATACACCCTTATCACCATTTTCTAAACCAAGTTGTACTATTAATAGGCATAATAATAGGCATGGTCTATTAGATCACTGAGTGCCATCCAGTCCACAGAGACAGCTGAAAAAACGTCAATATGTAATCCTCTGTCAGCTTTTATATTGCAGCAATTAAAGCATTTGGTAAACAATGTAAAATATCTCACCTCCTGGCTGATGACCTGCATCGAGCAAAAGAGGAAGAGCAAGACAAAGAAAGGAGAATGAGCCCTTGTTATCTGTCACTGATCATTTCATTTTTTTATCCATTTAAAAAATAAAACATTGGTAGTGGTTTGACTGGTATGCAGTGGTGTTTTCACAAATACACATGTGCCAGCACATGATTCCAGTCGTATGCTCACCGTGTCGCTTGAAGATAAGGAGGCTCATAAAGACAAATCCGATGAAGAGAAAAGTGGTGAGAACTGGAGCCATCACTCTTAACACACCAAGCCCTGAAAAACATTCAACAGATAATATAAACTCCAGATTCATAGTTATGAATCTTGTAGTCTTAAATATTATTCATAAAATGTAAAAAAAAAAAAAAAAAAAAAGGAAGGTCATTGTGCCTTGTATTGCAACAACAACTGTTTTTAAGTCAAACAACATTTTTTAATAAGTGGGATTTTCATAAAGTTGCATCAATAAATTATTCTAACAAATAATCATCATAAGTTTTCACCTTCTTGATTCTGGGCATCATTTATCTGTTTAATTAATTCCTCACATTCTTCTTTCAGGTGAATTTTCTCTAGACTCGCATGCTCGGCCTTAAGTGTCCATGACTGCTTTAGATCATGCGCCTCCGGCATCAACACTGTCCATGAATCACTGTCTGAATCTAAAGTCAGATAATCTTTGCCACTGAGCTGAAACCGGTCGGACAGCTGCAGGACTCGATATCCTCGCAGCTTACATTCCCTCAAACGTATATATGTGCCATAGCCTGAAAAATAAAGATGGATTTATTGTCACAGAGTGGCTGCATGACAATACGTGACAGACCAATATTTATCACCATAAATCAGATATGTTTTACTTAATCCAATAAATGGCACCACTTGGTGGATCTCTAAAGAATAGCATCCAACAACAGCATTACACCACTGTATGCTGAACAGTAAAGTACATTTCATGCATTGTTTGCATATACAGTATGTGCATGCTCAAGCTCAAACATTGTGTGTTTTACATTTTAAAGCAACAGTCATTTAATATAATTTACTCACTTATGCATTTTAAACTTAACAGTAACCTAAAACAAGAAGGAAAATACATTTTATATACAGAGATATACTAAAAATATAACTACTAAAAATAGGTTTTACATATTGGTTTAGCACATTTCAAAAAATCAGTATCGTAAAAAAATATCACTGTTCCTTCTCTAATGCTAAACTTCATAAAGTGCTGCATTAAGAGTCTTTACTTGCTGTTTCATTGTCATTCTCCACCATCATCTTCAGGACTTCATCTTGAATGGGTCTGACAACAGGTTGCTTGTCGAACTGTCCCTTTAAATTTGCATCACTGACAAGGATCCTCTCCACGACTGTCCCGTTTGGCAAAACACTGCGCTCGAATTGAATAATAATGTCTAACAACAACACATACGAGGGCTTTATCGCTTGACCATAGTTAAAACAACAGATCATAATGGAGGAAAATATGAGCAATAGAACATCAATTCCTGGTTAGGAATGCTGAAGATGCTTGCTATAACAGGATAAAAGACTCACCCGTTGGAAGAGCCCAGGATAAATCTACAAGAAACGCGACGGTTGCAAAGAGGAGCATTTCTGCGTAATATGAAGCGCGAGCGGCGATGACAACAGTTTGTTTTGAATCTTGACTCGCTTTCTTTCGGTTTCTATTTCTAGCGTTCTCATTCACACTGCACAGTTTTTTGAAAGACGACAGGTTGCAAAGAGGAGCATTTCTGCGTAATATGAAGCGCGAGCGGCGATGACAACAGTTTCTTTTGAATCTTGACTCGCTTTCTTTCGGTTTCTATTTCTAGCGTTCTCATTCACACTGCACAGTTTTTTGAAAGACGACTAAAGTGTGCAAAACCCAGATCCGGTGTAAAACCGTCGAGCGCAGTGTGCAGGTTTAGCTTAAACATTGAGAGACAGTGAGAGCACTTGCGTGTCATTGGCTGTTACCAGGAGAACCTGAGGAGGGAGACTGTCACACCAGGGGGAAAGAGTCTTTAACATATAAACACTGACCTGAAGTTGACATTTAACAGCTATAAAAACAAAAATATTGAATAGAAACTGCACTGGAGAGACTTTTTAGTATCCCTCCCTATCCTTAAGACTATCAAAACAACAACTGAAGCAGAAAAAGTGATTGGAAACCAGATCATTAGCCTATTATTATTTATTTGTACTGTATTTACAAATGAGATGCTGGGATTTTGTGAATAGTTTATCAAAATAAGACTACAATGCACTGTATGTGCACATTTAAAGGGACAGTCGCCCAAAAATTACAATTCTGTCATCATAATTTGCGAAAAGCCCTATAATAAGTCTATTTGTTTTGTTATTAATTAGATTTTGGGGTGCACTTTCCCTAAAACGCCTAAGAGACCATGAAAGAAAGCCTTTTTTATCAAATCAAAAGCTTCATCTTAATGAAAATGAACGTGAAATCACACACATTACCAGCATGCAGGAAATAAAGCACACAATTTTAACTCTTGGGTGCAAAATTAGCTGGAAGGCAACCATATGTTTTCTGACACTGGTAATTAATCTGTGCATTATTATTATTATTATTTTTAAATGAAGGCATTTCTTATTTTCTTTTAGTTACATATTTCAGAAAATAGAGAGGGGGAGTATGAGGGACCATAACATAACCATATATGGCAAAAGACAAACACAGGCCAGGAATTTATGATAGTTAAAATAAGAAAAGGAAGAGCAGAGGATTTCAAATCTTTCAGATTAAAACACTGTATAACAATGTAAAAAACTGACTTATTTTGACATAAACATAAATTGACATAAAAATACATCAAATTGACATAATTTTCCATTTGAAAAAAAAAATAGAAGCTTGACATGCAAGTTCTGGATCTTTTCTAAAACGCTTTGTTCACTTACATTTTTTTTTTTTAAATAAATAACAAATTTATCTTGAAAATGTCCTTTGCTCTGACCCAAATACTACTGGAGAAACCATGATCTCAACGGTCATGTGTTTAGAATGGGTTTTTTACAGTCTTGTTCAGGACAGTAGAAGTTTATGGCACATACTCTTTGGACATTTGCTCTTTTTTGTGTTATATGTTTACATTTAGATTGCAAACATTTTAATACAAAGGGATTTGAAAATGAAGAATATTTTCTGGTTCATCCTGAGAAGACATGAGAAGTGCTGCAATACAAACGTAACAACATTTAGAAAGAAAGCACTAAGTGAAAAAAAAAAAACAGTGACTTAGCAGGGCATATTTTTGGTTAATGGTTTAAGAATAAGTGTCTTAGTAGTTGAATAGTTGTAGAAGATTAGAAGATAGTGAGGGTCTGCTAGTGTTGAGATCACATACCCAAAAAAAAAAAAAAAAAAACTCAAAAAAACAAACTGTATAACAATGTAAAAAACTGACTTATTTTGACATAAACATAAATTGACATAAAAATACATCAAATTGACATAATTTTCCATTTGAAAAAAAAATAGAAGCTTGACATGCAAGTTCTGGATCTTTTCTAAAACGCTTTGTTCACTTAAATTTTTTTTTTTTAAATAAATAACAAATTTATCTTGAAAATGTCCTTTGCTCTGACCCCAATACTACTGGAGAAACCATGATCTCAACAGTCATGTGTTTAGAATGGGTTTTTTACAGTCTTGTTCAGGACAGTAGAAGTTTATGGCACATACTCTTTGGACATTTGCTCTTTTTTGTGTTATATGTTTACATTTAGATTGCAAACATTTTAATACAAAGGGATTTGAAAATGAAGAATATTTTCTGGTTCATCCTGAGAAGACATGAGAAGTGCTGCAATACAAACGTAACAACATTTAGAAAGAAAGCACTAAGTGAAAAAAAAAAACAGTGACTTAGCAGGGCATATTTTTGGTTAATGGTTTAAGAATAAGTGTCTTAGTAGTTGAATAGTTGTAGAAGATTAGAAGATAGTGAGGGTCTGCTAGTGTTGAGATCACATACCCAAAAAAAAAAAAAAAAAAACTCAAAAAAACAATTTGTTCACTTACATTTTTTTTTTTTAAATAAATAACAAATTTATCTTGAAAATGTCCTTTGCTCTGACCCAAATACTACTGGAGAAACCATGATCTCAACGGTCATGTGTTTAGAATGGGTTTTTTACAGTCTTGTTCAGGACAGTAGAAGTTTATGGCACATACTCTTTGGACATTTGCTCTTTTTTGTGTTATATGTTTACATTTAGATTGCAAACATTTTAATACAAAGGGATTTGAAAATGAAGAATATTTTCTGGTTCATCCTGAGAAGACATGAGAAGTGCTGCAATACAAACGTAACAACATTTAGAAAGAAAGCACTAAGTGAAAAAAAAAAAACAGTGACTTAGCAGGGCATATTTTTGGTTAATGGTTTAAGAATAAGTGTCTTAGTAGTTGAATAGTTGTAGAAGATTAGAAGATAGTGAGGGTCTGCTAGTGTTGAGATCACATACCCAAAAAAAAAAAAAAAAACACTCAAGAAAACAATGAACATTTTAACATCGCATTTTATACAGTTAGGATATTGTAAATGCTGCTAAAATTTGGTTTCTGCTCTAGAGTTTTTTCATGTTTCAAATTCATTTTTATGAATTACAACATATTTCATTATAGTAAAATATTGATATATTTAACGACAACAACAACAACTGAATATAAATATTCTGTTTGGTCATTTTACGTCTCTGTGTTGCAGAATGTATAGTTTAACAAGAACACAACTGCCTTACTAATGCCTGTAAATCATTAAAATTACTTACTACCACATTTTCTGGCTAACACAAAACTTATAGTTAAAAAATAATTATTCAGTTTGTAAATCTGTATTGGAAAGGGAAGGTTAAAGGACATTTTAAATATGTTAAAGTAAAATACATTTAAAAATTACCTGTTTTGCCAAACGTTTTTCTGTTTCTACAATATTAAACTATATCAATTTAAACTAACCATACATCAAGTTGACAAGTTTGTTGAGAAGAACACAGTAAAAATCCAACAGTCATCTATATCAAGGAGTTTGCATGCTATTTCTTGAACTAGTGACCAGTAAGAGGCAGTATTTGATAAGGCACACTCTTAAAAATAAAGGTGCTTCACAATGCCATAGAAGAACCTTTTTGTCTAAATGGTTCCATAAAGAACCTTTAACATCTGAAGAACCTTTCTGTTTCACAAAAGGTTCTTTGTGGCGAAAGAAGGTTCTTCAGATTACAAAAAGGTAAGAAAGAGATGGTTCTTTAAAGAACCTTTGACTGAATGGTTCTTTGGGGAACCAAAAATGGTTCTTCTATGGCATCGCTTGAAGAACCTTTTGAAGCACCTTTATTTTTAAGAGTGCAGTGGGCTCTGAGAATGTTTTTTTTTTTGCAGACTTATGCATTTTTTTAACTTAAACATTTCAGAAGCACATAATGAGAAAAGACAATTGACAATGAATGAAAAGCAGTATTTATTCAAATGAATGATCTGAAATGGTTTATTCAACTAACCTCAAATAACTTATGTAAGACACTGAACAATGTTAGCTTTTAATTTATAATTTATAGCTCCTCCACGTAAAAAAACACTACTCAAACAGGACTTGACAGATGTGCATTTCTTGCTGAAGCACTGACAACAGATATGTCACCATTGCAAAATGATATCAGTCTGTGTCATAGACTTTGTGCATTTGAAGTTAGGCCTTGATCCAAACTTTGAAAGCTCCTTACACACACACTAACACTAACGAGATCAGAAGAATCTTGGTTTTTAAAACCAAATGTATGTTGGTAACATTCTTTAAGAAATTCAAGAGTTCAACTAATTTTATTTGACAGCTCCAGCAGGGTACATTGCCACAACCCTTTCACCCTCCCATTTAACAAATTCTTCTTTTTGCGTTACATAAGTCATCTGTGTTTACTGAGGTCTTGCTTCTAATTAACAGCACTGCCTGATTACAGCTCAGCTGCACTCAGAACGCTGAAGAAAATAGTGATAGCAATAGCATTCATTTTTGCAGTTCTTCTCTTTGTTCCTGTTTACATTTTTCGAAGTAGCAAATAAAACAAAGATTACTGTCTTTCAAAACCGTTAAACTGTATTAATCAAAGGTTATGTATCAATCTATCTTGAAGTCAATGGTTGAATTTCATCTTCACAGAATCTCAGAATGAGTGTCCTGTTTCGTAAACACTTATTTGGTGCCAACTTTATCTGAAATTGAAAATTAGAAACTAAACACATTTTGTAATTTAATTTAAATGACAACATCCCAACACCTACAAAAAGTAACATTTAAATAATAATCAATAGTGTAGCCTTTTTTTGACATGCACATAAATGTAACCACTTGGTATATGCATATGGAAATTCATTCACCTTGATAGGCTACTACCTGAAAACCAATGCACCGACGAACACCAAGCTTCTCCGGCATAAAATTCACAATTTCAGGGTCGCATAGTTTACGCATGCGCAAAACCGCTGCCTTCGTTCCCTCCCCCCACAACATAACGTGCTGCTGTCGGTCCGGTTTGTTGGGGCAGTTTGGCATCAGGAGCGTTGCAGTACATTTGGAGACGGCAGAGGTCAGAGGTTCTTCGCTCTTCATCAGGCCATCAGCACCACCGAGATCAGCCTCATCAGACCAGGTCTCATCACACCTCATTCCAGCATGTCTAAAAAAAGCGAAAAACCAG